TGACTTCATCGCCTGTGTAAAAAAACTTGATACGTTTACAAAAAACGACTTATGCACATTGCACTCGGTGTGATTTGGAGTGCCACTGTGAAAAGATGTCGGGGTCTTAAGCCGATTTAACAACTCGTCTAGGCTCAGTTTTTGATGCTGAATCTGAAAAAAATATTTTCAGAAACTCAGAGAAAGCACGAACCGAAATATAGGGCGTATTTTGAAAAAAATGTGTTTTTCGAAAAGTACGACATACTTGGATTTTTTCGTATTTTCGCCTGAAAAAGATATTTGTGTAAGGTAAAAAGTTGTTTTCGTGATCAGCAACTCTCACTCTATCAAATGATGTAAAAAACACGGGAAAAAAAATGTTTACTTGAAGTTTGAATTGCCTGCACCTTACTACTTCAACAACCCGTTTAATGTCGGTTCTAATCAAGTAAAAACAGAAATAAATAAAGGGGATAAAAATAATCTTTGAATTTCGGCCACCTTCTATATTACATATATTCTAGAAATTTTTTATTTCTAATAAATAATCATAAAATTCTTTTGGTTTAACAACTATTTCATTATTATCAAAAAGAAATTTTAAAATTCGAATTTTCTTAAATATTTGAAATAAATCGATATCATAAAAATTATTTGTTATTTCTAATAGGTTTTCATAAGTTGGTAATTTTAATTCCTTAATGTTTGGCATTAATAATATTAAATATTTCCATAATAAAGTATTGTTTATATAATGCATATTTAATATTTCAATACGCTCACATATTTGTTCTTTATATCGATTATTATTTAAATCAAAATTATCTAATGAAAATACAAGATAAATTGTTATTTCATTCACATTCATAAAGAAATTTTTAATATAACTAAATATATTTGATGAATATGGCGAAAGATCAGGACCAAAAATAATATGTTTTACATTTTTCCAAGTTTCAACTAAATTATTATTATCACTATTAGTTTTATATTCTAAAAACTTTGATGATAGTAGTAAGGTTTCAAATTCATATGGAAATGAAAATAAATAATATCTTAATGACTTGAGAACGTTTATTTTATGTAAACCAACCGAAAATGAATCCCATGTTGATAAAATAATGTTTTTAGAGCGATCAATATCACTAGTAGTTAAGCAAATATGAAATTTAAAATCATCAATTAAAATTCTTTGTTTTATATAACGACCATTTAATAGATCAATATCATTGCTGTTATTCCCTGTGATATTTAACCTTAATTGTTTTAAATTTAAAAAGGAATGTATCAATGGAATTAATTCGGCTGTATATTGATAGGATGAACAATTATTCTTATTTGCAATTGATTGACAGGCTCCAGATGTCATAAATGTAAATTTAGATAAATTAAAACAAGAGTGTTTTATTTGCTCATAATTAATTCCTAAAACACATACCAAACATGTTGAAAAGTAAACTAAGGTCATATTTTAAAATAAACCATAAATTCTACCAACAATTTGTGAAAATCAAATACTGTAAAACTTCTCTAAAGTGATAACTTGTTTATAGCGAACAGTTTGGAGTCTAACAGAGCGCTTTTTGTTCTAAATACACTTCTGAAAAGTGAACACGTCTCTATTCTGAACAGTGAAAGCTTTTTTCAGTCCGATGTTGAATGTAACCTCTCTAAGATGAACAGTTATTAACCACAAAAAGAAATGAAATACAAAAAATGCTATTCAATGAGAGTTAATATATCACGTGCCGATCTGCCGGTGCGTGCACTATAAAGACTCATTGATTGGAGCTAATATGTCAGTAAAACAGAATTTTCTTTACCTTCCGTTAACGGGGACCAAAAAGCTTGTCTATAGTATTAGAAATTTTGCTTTCTTAAATTGTTTTGTCTCGAAAAACCGACAAACATCAAGTTTCGCTTAGCCTTTTTCGCTCTTTCAAACGGTGCATCATTCAGAGAGTCTGAACAAACTTTAGAGCCACACTGCAACGAGAAAACGAGGATTTGTATATTCTTCAACGTTTTTTCAAATCTCACAACTGTGCCA